TGGAGTAAAAATGCAGTCTTCAATTTCTTTATTATGACGAGCGCCTGGGTTCACCTTGATGCCTCACATTTAAATTCCATATTTTTCTTCATGTGTTGTAACCATTGCTGTACAGCCTGAAATACCTCCCACGGGGACAATAAAGTATCATCTTATCTTATCTTATCTTATTTTATGTTATATATATAGATCATGCCAAACATGGACCTAAAACAATTAAAATCAATATTCAGCTAGGTGAGATCGCATAAAATCAAGCAATCTGCACATGAGCACATGCTTTAACTCTTTATCTCCGAGGGGGGGGTAAACCCACTACAGGGCTCTTTTTTGGTACTAAATCTAAAAATGACGAAAGGGTCACTAAATGAGTCATTAAGTCGAATCTAGTGAACCTATTATGATAGTAGGCTACTGTATCTAATGAATGAACTTCCGGTAAAAATTGCCAAAAAGTAACTTGATGTTGAAGTCGTCGTAAAGGAAAGTGCCTGAGCCACTGTTAGCGGCTCACCGGCACAGCAGTTCCGACTGCGAGCCACTGGGAGCGGTTCGCGGAGATAAAGAGTTAAACAAAGGTCTACACAGAATAAGTTGCAAGGGAAACTTTCCAGTTACTAGGACAGCAATAGAAAATATGTTATACCTTCCTTTTCAAATAGGGTTAGAAATTCACAAGTATGTACTGTGGTGACATTCTCTGACTCATCAATATGACTAGATGTTAACAATCTGGAAACTGAACACATTTCCTAATAGAGAAACACTACTAATGTTTCAGTAACAGAGTTTTATCTAGTCGTGAGAATTTCTTGATAGCTCACCAGGGCAAGGCGACAGTCCGTCACAGGTCTTGAATTCAACCAGTGAAACAGTGCAATTTCTGCCACCATACTGGGGAACAGGATTGTCACATGTCCTACTCCGGACAGCTGTGGCATTCCCACAAGTGGCAGGACAGACCCATGATGACCAGTTGCTTACATTGCCATGAACTGAGTAAAAGAGGAGTAAAGCATTACAAATTAGTCCACACTGAAACCAACAAAGTCAAGTGAACTGCCAAAATGAGCGTGCATTTCATTATGGTTTTGTTCAATGTTCTCGCTAAGTTCACCTCTAAAATCAGCGGTACCCCCCGACCTTCTTCAATTGGAAATATCTCAACTTCTATTCAAGCTAGACGGGCTTTTTTTTTCATCGAAAGCAAGGCAAATGAACAGGCTTTAATATTATGCCAATAACTCTATATACCCAATAATTGATGAGCAACTGATTCCACAGTGAATGGTAGAAAGTGTCATAGCTATATCTGGTCAGCTCTGGGCAGTTATCAGTAAGACCTGCATCTGCCAATGCCAATGCCAATTATGGGGTGACATTTATCAATCCCAACAAACTCTTATGTGTGTGCCAATGGTTTCAGGCAGATGGGTGCTGTGAATAGTGTTGTAATCTAATTGTATCAACATTCACTTCAAAGGATGACGCTATAATCCCAAAGGCAGAAGGATAAGACAAAGATCAAGTCATTTCTCATTAGATAACTACTTTTTGTGGATGGTGCAAGAGTAGCAAGGAAGAACTACAAAAGTTCACAGATGCCTCTTTCAGCTCCATACAAAACATTTTGGCCATCCATCAGAAAGAAGAGGTTTTCTGCCAAGGGGAAGTTACAGTTTCAACAAAAATAAAAAACGAAAGTCAAAAGATTGTGGATGAAGACCATTAACATATTTGGGGTCTACAATTAACAGAAAACAGGCACTTGATCAAGAGTTAAGAAGGCCCTACTGGAACTGGAAAAGCATCAACCACCATGAGCTAGCTATCAAACAAAGCTTGGAGTAAAGGTAATCTCAACACTAAGATCAAGATGAAAGTGTACCAAGTGCATGCATCCTGGGCACACTGCTCTAGGACTGAGAGACCTGGGAAGGGTATAAATTAAATATGAGGACAAAATGCTATGCAGCGTTCATACCAAATGTGAAAAAAAAAGATTCTTGAAATAAGAATTTTGGGTGATACAATTTTTATTTTGCTTTATTCAAGGAAATGTTTCACTAGGCCTACATATGGACACTTGAAATTTCCTGTTGAAATCTTTTGGTAAAAATGGTGGGTGAAGTAGTCTGGCCAGATGAACATTATGGACAATGAAAAGGAAAACCTGAAACATAAGAGTTTTTAATGTCAATCCCTTTTATTTAATAACTTTCCAAAGATTCAACAGAAATGAAAAGAAAGCGGAACACAATTCATGACATTAGTGTCAACTTACTGGGACAGTTGTGTATGTAGCATCAACTTACTGGGACAGTTGTGTATGTAGCATCAACTCACTGGGACAGTTGTGTATGTAGCGTCAACTCACTGGGACAGTTGTGTATGTAGCGTCAACTCACTGGGACAGTTGTGTATGTAGCGTCAACTCACTGGGACAGTTGTGTATGTAGCGTCAACTTACTGGGACAGTTGTGTATGTAGCGTCAACTTACTGGGACAGTTGTGTATGTAGCGTCAACTTACTGGGACAGTTGTGTATGTAGCGTCAACTTACTGGGACAGTTGTGTATGTAGCGTCAACTTACTGGGACAGTTGTGTATGTAGTGTCAACTTACTGGGATAGTTGTGTATGTAGCGTCAACTTACTGGGACAGTTGTGTATGTAGTGTCAACTTACTGGGACAGTTGTGTATGTAGTGTCAACTTACTGGGACAGTTGTGTATGTAGCGTCAACTTACGGGGACAGTTGTGTATGTAGTGTCAACTTACTGGGACAGTTGTGTATGTTGCAGACTTCCGTCTCCTCATCTGGTCCTTGACACGGGTTCCCATCTGGCCCTGGGGCAGGAGAGTCACACTGACGGTAGCGTTTGCGGGTGCCACCGTCACAAGTCTCAGAGCATTCCTCAAACAATGTCCACTGACTGTAGTTACCATGGACTGAAGTCATAAGGGGAGGAAGGGAGGTTGGACGATCATTTTTTATTTAATCTTAGTGACGAAAATTTGTAACTCAATCATAACAAAATTCCAAATGCTAACACTTGTCTCACTTTCACATGTATCTTTTATGTTAACCCTTGTTCTTAATAAACAAGTGTCAAAGAGAATCATGTAGGCTTATCCCTCAAATTCAAAGTGAACCCAATAATTCCAGAAAAATATTTCCTGTTCTATTTACTTTCAAAGGGAGTTGTACTGCAGTAAAAGACACATTCCTTTCAGATGACTTCAACATAGTTCACTCATTAGACGAGGAACTATCAAAATAGATTCACTTGTTTTGTTTCAATGACCCATTTGATGTTTTTGTCATTTTTAGATTTAGTACCAAAAGAGGACCCTGACGAAGTGGTTTTACCGCCCTTGGAGATAAAGAGTTAATAAAACACGTTTCTCTTTCAGATATCGAGCTCCTAATGCATTCATACCCTCAGAGACCTCATTTGTAAATCAGTACACACACATACGTAAGCCATGTGTTCATAAATGTTGTGACTTTTCTTTATTTCCACTGATCCAGATAGTAAACAATTTTATCAAGTCAAATGTTTTTACAAATGTGGGGCATTGTATTGAAATCAGGTGCATGTCCAAGTAATGAAATCGAAGACCCCGACATTTTTCTTCTGATTAAGCAATTTTTATTGAATTTTGTTTTTGGCTCAATACTTTTTTCGTCCATTTAAAAACACATTTCTGGGTGGATTTTTCTGAAATCAACAAACTTTCTAAGTCATTTTCTCGCTAATTTTACCTCTGAAACCAGACTTCCCCCACCTCCTTCAATTGTAAATACCTTGACTTTTTTAAAAGAAAGATGGGTATTTTTTCCATTGAAGGCAAGGCAAATGAAACAGCCTTAAGATAATACCAATAACTCCTCATGCCAAAGAAATTGACAAGCAAGTGATTCCATAGCGTCATGACACAAATGTGGTATTGACTTCTAGTTTCATTCATAAACCTGAGAGGAACCAGACATTGTTTATTTTAGTATAAACTCTGCAAAACATATAACGTTCTTGTTAAATTAAGTCTACTTTTAGAATAAACTTTTAAAAAAGCAAGATTAGAGTTAGCAGAACAATTCATTAAGAGGGGTTGCAGGCAAAGGAATGTTCACTTTAAAAAGACTTCATTTGCTACTTCAAACACATCTTTACATGACATAACAACAAAGTACAAACACTCACCGATTGCTTCTGCACAAAGGCGTCCCCTAAATTCTCCGACACAGGTACATGTGTAGTTTCTTAAGTCGAAGTGGTTCACACACTGTGCTCCATTTGCACAGTTGTGTTCCTCACAAAAATCAGGAGCAAACTGAAACAGAAAAAGTTTATTTTCCTCATAAAACAACCTAATCAACGGCAGATATATGGCCAATGCATAGTTTTGTAAACACTCAGGTTTATGTCTTGTAAAAGGAATGTTAATATTACCCAAGCTGCTATTGCTTACTTAGGTAGACATGCCTGTCAGAGGGTGGCTGACACAAAACTGACTTCACAAGTTTCGGTAGGAATCAGTTTTAGAGAGTATCAATCTTCACAGCGCCACTGTTATGAGCATTCTATACAGCAAGTTAAGTCTGAAAAACTGAAATGCTGAGACAGTTAACTCAAAAATGTTTACATGTACACTGACTCCAATCACACAAAAAGGGCTACATTACGGCCCCATCCCCAGCGTGCGTCATGTGCCACAGTCAAAATGGGTCATGAATGCAGATGGAAAGGATATACTGTGCTATTCACAAGTAGGCAGGATAATAAATTACATTTTATTGATCCCCTTATGGACATTTGGCTTACAAAGGCAAAAACACATTTACAAATTCAAAATTATAAAGACATATGTACATAAATATACTGACGGTCATTAAGAAAACCGCACCATTTTGGATTGAGCATATTGTGCACGAAAATTTATCTAGTGACATAAATTGAGGTTGATAAAGGTTCACAGGCAACAGAGGGTACCGATCACACAAATTAGAAGCTCCCAGTTCAAAACTGCCAATGCGCACGAGCAACACCCAAAAAGTACGATGTATTGACCTCAAACCTAAACTTTTATTTAGCGAGACAGATTTTTTGGCTGTTAGGGAGAGATTATATTCGCCCATAACAAAAACTGACGTTCTTTACTCTGTGCGACGGATTTTTTCCGCGTAAATAATACCGCGACTTTCCATGCTAGAACATGACAGGGCCATTGGAATGCTCCAAGCCGTAATGGCAGCATGGCAAGTTGCCAGGCGCATGAACTGTAGCCACTCTATTGTTATCCGGTTGTCTCAAGGAAATGCAGCTACTGGATCTACAGCAGATCGGTGTCGGAGCGGCCAACCACGAGTCACAACGCCAGTGCAAGACCATTACATTTGCTAATGTCACCTTTGTGACCGTTTCCTGCCAGCACCAGAAACAGGTCGTCAAGTGGATGGTCGGCGTGGACCAATATCTGAATGGACCGTGCGACGCTGTTTGCGGGAAGCAGGACTTGCAGCCAGACACCTGTACGCTGGTCCTGTCCTGACTCAGAGGCACCGTCAACAACGTTTGCAGTGGGCCAGGTAGCATTTACAGTTGACACAACCCCAGTGGAGGACTAGTCTTTTCTGACGAGAGTCGGTTTGCCCTTTCGCATGCTGACGGGAGAAGAAGGGTCCAGAGACGTCCCGGCGATTGCTATGCCAACTGTTGCATGCTGGAGGTCGATAGATGGGGAAGAGACAGGGTCATGGTATGGGGAGTGTTCAGCCACGATTAACTCTCAGCAGTTCTTGGTATTTTGACCATTTTCGCCTTCACGGCACCCATGGTTAGTATGATTTACCATAGAATATAAAATAACACAGAAAGTATGTCAAATTACATACCATTGGAAAGGAAATTGAATTTCCTATCAAATGAAGGTAATTTCATCATGATATGACCACTGTTGTCTATGTAGTGCTCTGTTATTAGAGGGAGGGACAGGGGAAAAAAAGATAAAATTTCCCAACATGTAACAGTCACAAAGAAAGAAAAAAAAAAGTGTTCTAAGATACCCCAAAAAGTTTATTATGGAGTAAAAGCACTTCCAATTTTGCAATGTGTGTCCAAATTTCATGCATATTGAAAAAAGGATAAAAAAGTTACAAGGTTTTTGACAAAAGATACATTTATCATGTTTCGCGATGAAATAACGACGCGACATAGAAAAAATAAACATCAATGACTTTCCAGTCAATTTCCATCCACAAAATTGCACTCAAAACAGACAAGGCAATACCAAATATTTCAAAATGACAAGAACACACTGTATTCATACAAAATACCAATACCAACAGAGATTTTCATGGAAAAATAGACAAAAATATTGTAGTACGGTACTTTACATCATTGTGGTCCATGACGGAAAAACATTCTACTCCCCCTCCCCACAGCGGTGCCACTGACTGAAGTGTCTTTAGGCATTCCAAAAGGGGGGACATTTCTCATCCTAATGCACAATAGAATTGTAAATGGGCTGATCCAACAATGTCATGCTCATAACTGTGCCTGAACTACAACAGGGAACTGCTGCTTTTTCTTTCCTAATCCTTAGTATCGTCATTTTCCTCTACCTCTTTTGTAAGTTTGTCACACTCTTGTGACCCACTATTTCCGGGGTGCCATGATAGTCAAAGCAGACTTTGTGCTGTTGAAGCTAGAGAGGAGAGCAGAGTAAGTCTGATTCCCTGTAAGGACTTCTCTGTTGACATCCACCCCTTGGCGCTCATATATGACCTTTTGCAGTTGCGAGCGCTGTAAAACCTCTCCTAAAACAAAAAACATTTTTCTACTCAACTGTCCAATAATTGTAGTAAGTGGCAAAAGACTATTCTACAGTATGCTCTGCAAGCAAACAGTTTCTATTTTTATTGAAACAAAAATATCCAATAGTGTGCCCCCATCCTTCCCTGTGTAAACTTCATAATTGTATGTGTACCCATTCATCGAATCTGCAACCACCCGTAACTTCATCCCCCATTTAGTTATCCTTTATGTATTGCCTGAAACTGTATCTCCCCTTATTTTGAACCATCCTCTCATCTATGCTAACACACTGGTTAGGTTGCCAATACTTCATACATTTCATACTCAAAAAATAGTGCACAAACCTAACTTTCCGTAGCTTATCAGTACCTCGCTCAGTGTCTGGATTGCATAATTTTAAAAAAGACTGAATTTGTTTGAAATTTAGTTTGCTCATGTATGCCCTTGCCCATAGTCCATGAAAACAGGTTTTCGTAGACCAGTACAGCTCTAAATTTGGTAGATGAACAATAGACATATACATTAGCAGTCCAACGAACTTGAGAAACATCTCAGAGTCAAGATCCTCCCAGGAGCGAAAGACAGATGGTTTGTTGGGTCCTGTCATCGGGGCGTACTCATTAGAGAAGAGGCAGATCTGATTCACCATCTCAGTGCAGAAAAACAGTTTGAAGAAGGATGCTGAGGAAATAAGAAGACAAGAAGAAGACATAAGTTACATAAGTCATTTGGAAAGGATAGTCTGCTTGGAACACTGACATCAATCGAACTGTCAGAAAATCCTGGCCCACAAGGTAATATCAGTTTTAACTACATAATGGCATCAAGAGTGTTTTCTACAAATGAATAACAAAGGTCCCCAGGTGTAACATGTGAATCAGTGAACTCACCTGCCTGTCGGAGTGAAGTAAGGGCAAACAGAAAGCAATTACAAAAATAAAAATTTCTCGTACTCCGTGCAATAATGCTCTCACCTGGCGTCAGAAAACTTCGGATGTCCTGTCGGGTGATACAGTCAGGGAGATGCAGGCCAACAGCACGGCAGGCCTAAACTGAGGCAGTGGTTCTGGTGGGCCATCATCCTGGTCCGCGTAAGACTGGTTACGTGGAGGTTGTGGCTAGTTTCTGAGGGAAGAAAATAAGCAAAGGATTAGGACGCTATCGGCGGAGTCGAAGTTGACATGTTGATAAGGCCTATGTCATAGGCACTTATTTCTAGATCTAGATCTAGATCTAGACAGAGGCAGACCTTGAACAAAGCTGTTCTGTCATTATCATCATATTATCACAATGATAAAATCTTAGCAGGGAATAAGGCTACTGTACACGGGTGAGGTGTAAACAAAAACAAACTTCCTGTTTGAGGAATTGCTGTGTAAACAATAACATGACAACCGTAGCTAGGCACATAAAAAAGTTAATTAAAATTTTTTAGAGGCAAACCATGCTTTCACAACTTCAGGTTACCACAAATAACTATTCTGTAAGCTTGAAGTAACAATACCAGTGGCCTAAACCCACTAGAATACATGTTATAGGCTTTCTTGTGCAGAGGCAGGATGTAAACAAAACACTAACCTGTTGTTTTGATCACGATTGGTCAAAGTCGGGGCTTGGTTTCCGTCCTCGGGACCCTCATCGTCCGATTCTGGTACCCAGACATCAGATTCTTCATCCATTGAGTCATTCAGGTCAATATCAGACTCATCTGACGACATTTTTACGCTTTTTTTCGATTTTTAGTGTAGAAACTTCACAGCTGGCCTTCTCCCAAAATCCAAAATGGCGGCGGAGAGAACGTAAACAAACGCTGATTTTCCGTGCACCAAATTTTTACAATATTTTATAAATTATGATTATTTTTATGAAAAATATATAGATTCAACCCTTTTTTATGATAAAAAAGGTATTAGAAGCATCAAAATGTAAAAAGGAATGGATTTCTGCCGTTAGATCTACACCCGATGCTCATCGTACGAATTCGTACGATTTTCCTTTCGGTGAACTGCTGAGAGTTAACATGCACCACTGTACTTCTTCGACCAGCCTGTGAATTCCAACACGTACCAGCAGGTTCTGCAGAACCACGTCGTGCCATTATTAAGTCAACGCCCAGAGCGGCAGTTATTCCAACAAGACCACGCCCGCCCGCACACCGCTCGAGCCACCACTGCTTTTCTGCAGGCAAACAGCATTGATGTCCCGCCTTGGACATCACTGTCTCCTGACATGGCACCAATTGAGCATATGTGGGATGAGTTTGGCCGCCGTTAGTCTCGTGGAAGACCTTTAAACAATCTCCAAGAGCTGAGGTGTTCTTTGACAAATGGGCGGATACAGATTCCACAGGTGTTCTTTCAGACTCTTATCAGTTCCATGAGAAGACGCTGCCAATCCTGTATTCAGGCCTATGGACGACATACACGATACTAAGGCAAGAGTTAAAAACTCAATTTACCGCTCTGATTTTAGAAAAATGACTTTGTTACTTCATGCTTTTGTGCTCGGTGTGCCATTTGACCTTTTCGTTTCATTTCTGCTGTGAATATTCACAAAATTAGAATAGAATGCAATGGTATATAATCTGTTTTAAAAAATAAACACACCACCATTATTTGAATTGTCTTGTAAGTGGTGCGTTTTTAAAGACCGTCAGTATAATACATAAATATACATAATTACCCCAATATGGAACAATTGTAATAACATGCCATCGCTGGTCGCTACTTGACAGTGCCCTGTTTTTTTAGCTAGGGTTGTTGTGTCTTGCTCAAGGACACACCCCAGTGACCACCCACCTGAACCCTGTCTCACCGACGCTTGCTTGACATTACTTTTGAGTCTGAACTCACTCGCTTGATAGGAAAGAAAAAGTAAATTACACCAAAGCACATGCCAACCACCTACCATTAAACTATAGCACAAGCAAGAAACAAGATAGAATAGAAACTGACAACTTGCCTCACAATGTTCTCCTGACCACAGGTCATCACAAACACAACGATAGCCATTGTCCTGATCAATGCAAATCCCATAATCTCCACAAAAGTTGTTGTTGGCACAGTCGTCCACAGCTGCAACACAATCAGTGACCAAACTTACATACCAGTACGGCCAAAGCATAGCTCTCTTACAAAATAATTCACTACTCATCTTGGTTTATTTTGTACCAACTATGGACCATACTTGATGCAAATTCAAAGTTGGCAGTTAGAGGGTTTCACTGTTAGATCTTCTCTGTTTCCGTGTTATTTCTGCAGTAACCAGTTAGTCCCTGGCCCTTAATTATAAATATTGAGGACTTTTCAATCCCTTGGATTGCTTACTATGGCACATGGGAGGAAAGCATTAACTCAATTGAGCCTGAGCTATTTTTCACCTAACAACCCTTGCAGCCTGACACTTTGGGGGTATATTGAAGCGTTAACCACAAAAAAAAAAAAACTGTGACAGCTATCATAATATTTTTAATTCGATAAGAAAAGAAAAGAAATGTTCTCAAAGAAAAAGAAAACTGCATCTAATTTGTTTGAATAGTTTTTCTTTTATCAATATTCTGAAATGGCAATGTCTGGGGGTTACACAATTTTTTGCAAAGAGTTAATAATAAAATCATCTATCGCAATGCAGGGTGACTAACTTAGTCCATTACAGCTAAAAAACTGTCACACATAACTTCACCAAATGTTTAAAGAAAAAAAACAAGCAGATCAACTGTTGGCTCACCGCTTCCAACAACTTGTTGTTACTGAAAAACACCAGAGATATCGATCGATAAAGCCGTAAATACGGGATTAGGCCGCCAGGCAGGTGGGGCGTCCCGTAAATACACGGGAATAGGCTCAAGTGAGTTAAAAAGAGAAAACAGGACAGGAGGGAAGAAGCGCAGTAAAAACTATACAGGATACTGATGAATGAGTAAGTGAGAGATATACGGTACCTAACAGGCTCCTCAAGCCTCAAGATATTTTATGTTAACACACACACACACACGTGCACACACTCACACACACACATTATAGGCCTATATATAAAAAGAAGATAAACAAAGAAATGTCAACAACAAAAAATTTATGAAAGTGTCATGGGACATTCTTTTTTCCTTACCATCACAAGTGCTGAGTGTTGAAAGTTCAGATACTACATTGTTCTCAGTGAGAAAGTTGTTTGCCAGTAATTGACCACATGAGCTGGCTAAAGAGGCGACTTGTGTACCTGTCAAAGCCTCTTTTACTCCCTGAATTTCACTGACCACAACATCTGAAAAAGGTACACATTCTATTCTGAGGTGATTGAAAAAAAACTTACAGGGAACACAAAATTAAAAAGAACACAGGTTTTTTTTGGTTAAATTGTAAAGAAGCGTTTTGTCAACGATGATAAAGCAAACCAGTCTCACACAGATACTATTACATCATTCACTAAAAAGTACAATACAAACCTGTCAAATCAATAGAGCAGAACACTCACATTTTTTTTTTCAAAATAAGGGGAAATATTATAGTATTTCCAGCAAATCTCTCACATCCATTCGACAGTTTTTCAAGATTCCAGTTCAAATTAAACCCCATCAACCATTCACAAACATGCACCACCACCACGACAAGCCTCTGCACGGTAACATCTCCTTTTCCCTTTCCAAAGTGAAAACACTAGATAAAACATCAGGTATGTAATTTCTACTTACAGTCTAGGTCCTTCCCTGGAGTAAACCCTATTGAGGTGCACGGAGAAGAAGATGAGCTATACCCAGTCTCCATGAACACACCATCAACGTACAGAGAGGTTTCTAACAAAAAAGGAACCACTCGTCTCATTCCAATATGATGCCACTGTCTGGAAAAAAACAGTAATAAAGCACATATGATATACATCAGAATCAAGGCCATATGCAGAACAACATTTTTATAAATTAGATGCTCCATTTCTTGTTACCTGGAAATGATGGTGATATAGCACATATATACATCAATAACAAGGCCATATGCCAAATGATCATCATCATTATAAAGTGCCAGAGCTGAAAAATATCAGCAATCATGGTTTGTCATTCATATATATACATGTATATATATTTTTATATATATATATATATATATATATATATATATATATATATATATATATATATATATATATATATTTTTTTTTTTTATTTTTTTTTTATTTTTTTTTTTTTTTATTTTTTTTTTTTAATAATTTTTTTTTTTTTTTTTTTTTTTTTTTTAAAATATATATTTAACATTCTCGTCAAATCTGTTAAGGATTTCCTAAAAGACTGCTCTGGATCTACCCCTGTTTTTTTTGCCCAGTATTTTTTTCAGTGAGAGCATGATATTTAAGGCTTTTATTTCAACTAAAGTGTCCCAGAAACTTCATTAGTCTCTTCCTAATCGTTTTTATTAGAGAGCTGCAAAATAACTCCCCCCCCCCCCACCCCCAGCCCCAAAAATAAAATAAAATAAATTTACAATCTGATTCTTCCTTCATCGAACTATGAAGATCGGAGAAGGTTGTTGTAGCCTATAAATATGTTCATGCTCCTACAAAGTAAAAAGAAAAGCCAGTTCCCTTTGTGGGAAGTATTATCAAGGAATCTGGAACAAGAAGTAAAATTCATTATTGTGACACACTGAGCTGGACATCATCCCAGAGCCCTGAGTGTAAGGGAGAATAAATTATTTTAAATCAGAGAGAAAGAGAAATAAACAGAGAGAGGCAGAGAAAGAGAGACAAAGAGAGAGATAATGAAAGAGACAGAAAGAGACAGAGACCGAAAGAGAAAGAGACAGAAACAGAGAGATAAAGGGGGAGGGGGAGAGAGAGAGAGAGAGAGAGAGAGAGAGAGAGAGAGAGAGAGAGAGAGAGAGAGAGAGAAAGAGAGAGAGAGAGAGAGAGAGAGAGAGAGAGAGAAAGAATTTTCAAAACATATTCTTCGCTAATGTATACAAGATTCTAGCGAGATCAGTGTTAGTTATTCTAGACTGTTACCATTGCAGGTTCAAAGAATTTTCTGTCAAGTGTCTTGCACAAGAACATAGCAGCGGACCAACCCTAAGAATCAAGTACATATCATCTAAGCTATTGACACTATTATTTTCTGAAACACTGCAGGATAGGATGAGTTCTATATTCTTTTCCACCACTTCTTAAAAAAATTAGACATCATAGATTGTGTCACGACACGGTGGAATCAGGCGCTCGTCAATTTTTGGACATGTGGAGTTAATGGTATCATCTGAAAGCATATTCATTTGTCTGGCTGTCAATGAAAAAAATACCCATCTATCTTGAATAGAAGTCAAGATATTTGCTATTGAATGAGGTGAGGTCGCATGGTTTCAGTGATAAAATTCGCGAGAAAATGGCCGCCAAAGTTCGGTAACTTCAATAGCTTGAGAGACCTTTAAAACTGAAAAATTACATATTTTGTGCCTTTAATCAACTTTCAAGCAAAAAAAAAAGTGTCATACCTTCTACTCCTCAACTGGCCATGAGGTTCAGAGATCAAATACAATTTCAGATTTTCACAGCCGATAAATGCTGCATCAGGATTTGCCGTGAAAGAGAAAGAAGTAGATGTGTTAACCAGATTTGATGGTATTTTCAAAAAAAAAGAGATGGAAAAGGGGTCTGTCACATCCACGTCCTTTATTATTGGACCTTCTGTGTCTTGGTTCATGACAATGTCGTTAACTGAAAGAAAAAAAAAACGAGAAAAACATGTTTCATTGCATGAAAAGGAAAGAAATAAACTGTGTACGTTTTTAAAAAGTCATCATGAAATAAGATTTTGGGGATATACAGTACTGGTTTGGGACTCCAAAATAACACAATTGCTGGATTTTTATAAGACTGCCTTCAAGAATGCCAGGGGATAGAACTTTATTTAGGAGGCTCTTTGGTTGAGATATGCTATTCACCTTTCTTATCAAATATCAAAACAGCTATTTGACATTGATACAAACTTGGTGTCCTGCAGTCATGGATGGTCGATACCTCAGGATTTTTCTCAGATTTTACAAACTCTCAATTCCAGAGGAGATGGGGCTGACTGACTGTCACTTTAGATGAAGAGAAAAAACTCTCAATCCCATGTACATGTTCTACATAGGCCTATGCCTAGACACCTTAACAGTAGAACGTCAAAGATAATATTCAAACCCAATTCCTCCCTAAAACAGAACATAATCTAATGACTTGTAAAAGCAGCATACGTAAGCCTGAAAAGCTGGGGTACTACTACCAATATATGGAAAAAGCAACGACTTACAAAAATAAAAAACCCAGTTACCCCAAACTGGACACTTTTTACCAACATTTCAAAGAAATTGTTGGCTAAAAAATCCCCCCCCCCCCCCCCCCCAAGTACATTGGAACACAGTAACCTCCCTTTGAAAAATAGTCCGTTTGTTTTCACTTAGCCTACTCATTCTAAACTTCTTACATATTTTTCTGACAGTCTGCACCTAGAATAAACCGTTCTAAAAAATGTTCAAATGATTCTAGAAATGTGGACTCTCAGGTACAGGTGTTGGGGGTCTCAGTAGTAAGCATTTTGACATGAAACAGAATATTGCCTATTGTCTTCTCTGGCTAGGAATTTATGACTTTCAAGATGATCAAAGACAAGCTGACATTTGCAGTCATGGAATACATTCTACAAAGCTACACAAAAAGCATGACATTTGGACTACAGCAACTGAATATAACTTTCTGCCACCTACCAATAAAAGATACACATGGCAGTTAACTGCAGAACGGGAAAAAAAGGATTTTAGCTAGGAATCTAGGAATTATTTAATAATAATAATAGTAATAAATAGTATTTGTATAGCACATAGGTCTACCCCCGCTCGACAGCAAGCTCTATATGCGCTTTACACAAAATCATTACCCCAGCAGACCCTATAACACTCAGAACAAACATTCTCAGCTTCCCGGGAAGCATTCAGTGCAAACAGCCGATTAAGCACTCCAACACTTAACAAACTGACAAGATCTTTCTCATTTCAGTATACAGTAAGATCAACTAACATTTGCAGTCAGAAAGTTGAGTGGCTCCCCTTGAGTCAGTGAACATTCCAAAAGGGCAAGGTAGGCATGCTGCCTTCATAGTCTCTGGCTGGTACTGGCCGAGTGGGCAAGGGTCACAAGGGAGATAACCCGTGGGGGAGGTTGCTCCTGCAGGACAGATAGCTGCCGGAAAATACAGTCAAAACAATCCATTATCATTTAGTTAAAAATGAACAAGAATTGACAAAATTGATTAGGAAACATGCATCATTTGCTCTTAATTTTATAGCCTACTGGACCTGCAGAGGTCATTATAAATGCAGAGCTTTTTGTCAAGGGGTCAAAAGAAATGCAGAAAACTTTTTTAGAATGGAATGAGAAAAAAGATAATGTACCAATTGGCCTAAGTTCTGTCACACCCATTATACAATGATAATTTTCACAAAAGCATAAGAATTGCAATGAAAATAAGAAAATATGACTTGTGTGACTACTCCTCAGTGAAAGGTGAGTAAACTCATGCAAAACCCACAACATACTATTGTACTCTAGGCCTTGAGGAGTGAGCATGTCTGAAAATATGATAGTATACACTCAAACTGAAACGGAGAAAAAAGAGAAACTTCTTTGTCTAAAAAAGTAAGGAATTTAGTCAGACATCATAGATTTCCTAGTCTAAGCTGCTGCTTCAAAGCTACTGCATCGAAAGAGTTGTTGAGGCAGTTTAGAAAAATACTTTTCCTGGATTGTAAATATTTTACACCTCATCATCATCATTGCCTTTCTCACCCTTGATCAGGATATAGGCCACGAACAAACACTTTCCACCTTTCCCTATCCTGCATGGGGTGAAAAGGGCCAGGAATTGCCTGAACTGGAAGCCTACCTTGTTATTGTGGCAAACAGAGGCTTTAGAAAATTACACTCTAGACTGCAAAGAGGAAAGATCAGTCATGTCAGAAATTTAGTGTTTGAACAGCCAGTGAGCAGACCATAAATTTTGTCACCTTCACCTCTAGTACGGATTAAAATATGTATCTGATGTTTAGTATATGCTTCTTATGTAAAAATTCTTTCGGTCAAAATGCCACGTTACTGTCCATATTCTTCCAAAATTGCTCAATCAAAATCTTTTCAAAACAGAAGCTCATCACTCAGTGCAATAACAGATGTTGTCCTGAAAAGCTCATTGCAACTTTTGACTTTTTCCCATAAGTAAAAAGTACATACCGAGACATTGATCTTCAGAAGTGCTCCCATCTCTTCGTGTTGTAGAGTTGTTTAAGCAGGGAAGGCACTCATCTCCCTCCAGTTCTGGCTGGTAGGTACCAACAGGGCATTTACTGCAGGACGTCTGATGGGGGGAATATACCCAGCCCTTGCCACAACCAACTGTGGACAAATTTAAGAAAATTGCAAGATCATTACTGGTAGACATTAGGAATTTATTCAAGCGGACATTCTGGTGAATTTCCCCGGCTGAAATTTCCCTCCAAATTGAAAAGATGATAAAAATTTTAAGGAAAAAAATCAAACTGCGTCATTGAGACATTTGCAAAAAGGCAAGATTGAACCTTTCACTTATAGGCCTACTACTAAAATTAATAACTCCTCCCCATTTTATAAGTGAAAGCGATTTTGAAGAGAACTACACATAAAAGAAAGAAGCGCAGACATTTTAATAAAACATTACCGAGTAGGTGAGAAAAAAAAACACTACTAAAGAAACGGATGGAGCAACAGCAGTGGATATGCATGGTGGCACTGATTCTAGGGGAACAAGGGAAACAGGACAACAAGAGCCTGTCTGTTTGCAGAGATAAAAAGCACTTTAAAAATAGACACATTTTCATTTTTCCCTTTTCCTGTAGGGGAAAACAGCACTTTGAAAAACGTGGGGAAAAGCCAAAGATACAAAATAATATAGTTTTAGTTTTAGTAAGAGTTTTACGGCACTTGCAACACAATAAGGTCATATAAGTGCCGAAGATTAGAAGTATTGCAAGAGAGTAACAAACACAAAAAAGAGGAGAGATAAGGACAGCAGATGCTTGAAGGAAAGAAGGAACAAACCACACCAGAGCACCCGCCAACCACCCGCATAATATAGTTTATTAACAGAACTTTCTTACTAATTAGACATGAAATATGAGTAGCTGATGTATGTCAAAAGAAAAGGCAATAACACTTTCCATTCAATGCTTACAAAACATACTTGTTGAAGTCAAATAAAAACAGGGAACAAACTTCTAAAATCAAAGCAATCTGAAAGCAAAGAAAACTTGTACATCAAACATAGAGCAATATTACATACAGCTTAGCTTGAAGAAAAGGTAATTCTATACTGAAGGGAAACTTTTTTTTTATTCTAAAAAACTTAACGACAGCTTAAACATACCACACAAAAAGTCATCCGAAAATGGCTGATAATAAGTTGGAGCTGGGCACTGGTAGTTAGGGACACCCCCGCCATAAGAAAAGTCATCTGTCTCTCCCACATGGGGCATGGCGTACTTTCCATTAAATGTTCCATCGTCAAACAGTTGATTCATTTCTTCGATAAGTTGATCAATCTCATCACGGGTTATGTCAGGGTCAGGATGGGATATGTCCACAGTGAAAATAGCCTGTTGCGGACAGAGTAAAATATAATGATTGTTAAGGTGCAATATGAGATTTAAAGATAGTAAAGAATATGATAAATTTCATCAGTATTGACTGAGAACTGACAAATCGCGACCTCATATTTACAAAGTTCTTTCTGATATTTTTGGCCATTTTAGGCCAGAAAGGCCATGAGGTCAGAAAGCAAATGTTCTATCTGCTCTATCAAAATGGTAAGATTAGTCAGAGTCGTTAACAAGATATTGAAAGAACTGCCACAAATTTTTAACGTCAAATTTCTCTAAACTTGATACTGAGCAGACAGAACTTTGCAACCTTGGGATAGTGAAATAGTTCCTTAAAATGTAGGCCTATTTGTAGCTGTTTTACGTCTCCATCAATACAATTTAACTCATTTAGTTGGGGGGGGGGG